TTTATAGCTCCACCATTACACAGTGTCTGGCTGGCTGGGGGGTGCCTTATTATTTATGCTGGCTGCTGATTGGCTAATGCGATCACATGTCATGAATGAATGCATTCATGGGTCAGCGCGCCTTGTCTGCGCGCCTTCCCCCACGAGATCCCCGCTCCGTCGCCACACATGTCCCGCCATTTTTGGGAAAACTTCGATTTGTGCATCCGAAGTTTGCTAATTTTTACGGATTCCGGTACGCGAATCGAATATTTCCTAATCTTCAAAACGAATTCCACTTCGTCATGTTCGATTCGCTCATCTCTAGTGTGTGAGGGTCAAGTGATTAAGGTCGGGTTATTGCAGGTCAACTGGATGACTCAACAGGTTGTGGCTCTATTGTCTCCTCCTGACTCTGGAGCGTACCATATGAGCCTTCCAGAGGTCAGTAAGAAAAAAGGGTGGAGGCCTAATCTCATATCACACATGAGGGTGGCAGCCAATCCCACGGTTTAGGAGCCCCTGGTAGAATGGTGGACTGCCTCATAAATATAATTTAGAATCAGGCTGACACCAAATAAAGGAGTCGGGTGGAAGATGGAGGCTGAGGAGAGACTGTCGTTGTCTAGGAGGGGTCCCCTAGTTGGTCTGGGAGTCGGAGGCAGTCCTCTAGGCAGGCTTGAGCTGGTTCAGGAGATACATTCTGTGGATGGGATCATGTCTGGAGCAGCAGGGAGCAAGGAGGGACAGTGTGACAGCAGCACATTTGGGGTCTACAAGGGGAAAGACTGACACACATAGCAAGCTTTCTAAGGACAGTGTTGGGTTCAATCCTTCATCCTTGTCCCAGGAGATCTTCTGAGAAGCCAGGAGGGCTGATAGTGCTTGCAAGCTGTGGAGCTGGGAGCAACTCTACAGGAGGAGAGAGAAGATGTATCTGCATGTAGCTATGAGAAGTAAAGTGATTTTTGAGGGGCTGCAAGTTCCTCACACCGTAAGGGGCAGCTGCTACTGATCTGTAACGACTGACATCTTTCAGGAAAAGAGCAGTCCAGGATCTGCTTTGTACATAGGAAGGAAAGTGTCCCCCTTCCATTGATTCAAGCCAATTTTGTTTGGGCATCCCATAATCCCCTATTATTTCCCTATCCAAGTTGAATTCCCCTAATAGAATAGCAAAACAAGTTCATGGACCGGTCACTGTCTCTGGATGCAAGTCTGTGCGAAAAAAAACCTGTTGCCTGGCTGTGCAGAGGGAAGCTTAGGGCCCTCACGAGCAGAGCGCTACAAAAGGTTATGACGGCATATACATTTTCCGGGAAAAACGTCGTCTGATAAGCATAAGCCCCCAGTCAGATCAGTTGCAATTTGGCATGTGGTGATTTGCATGCCAGGCGACTTGCAAATGGTATGCCAAGTCGCACCCTATTATCCACAATTACAGCGGTCATATCAGTGCGGTTCTGACTTGGTCGGAGCTGCGCGTATTTCTAAAGTAGTACATGCACTGCTTTTCGTGCGATTTGCATAGACACCTGTGTCAGATGTCTTGTAAATCGCACTTGAAATCGGCATCTCACACAACTTTGAAATCGTGCAACTTCACTGTAAGGTCGCACGATTTCAAAGTCAGGCTTGATGTGACCGGAGGCTTAGTGTGATTGACATGGTCAATTGACTCAAAGGGGTTTATTTACTAAAGCTGGGGAGTCCAAAATCAGACTCCCTTCTGCATAGAAACCAATCAGCTTCCAGGTTTCATTTTCAAAGCTTCATTGAACAAGCCGAGGTTAGAAGCTGATTGGTTTCTATGCAGAAGGGAGTCTGATTTTGGACTCTCCAGCTTTAGTAAATAAACCCCAAAGAGACCAAAAGACATTGCGCAGGACCTGAAATAAGAACACAACTGCTGCAAAAGTGACTGCAGAGCTCAATCTCAGTCTTCACTGGTCTGCGCACTGTCAATAAACGTTGACTCCAGAGATGATCCTAATTGCATAGTTAAGATCTAGGTTGGAACAATGTAAGCATGCATACAGTATCTCCTACCCGAGGGAAATATCACTATATTAGTCAGCACTGATATAGTGACCACCTTGACCTTCCAGGTCCTATGCCGAGCGTCTGCCCCACTGCAAACTGACCACCAGCGATTGCTTGTTTGGCTTTGCTGCCATATACAGTACTTTTTTTTTCCATTTTTGTCCATAAAGACACTGACAGTACGTTCACATTTCAGCATTGGGAGAACGTGTGTAAAATTGCGCACTTTCCCACAATGCAGAGATATGCGCGCAGCCCTTTTTCCAGACGCGTGAACGGTGTTATTAATTCTTAATAGCACTCCCATGCATCTGCAAAAGCATGTGTTTTTACGCACAGTAACATGCATGGTGCTGAAATGGTAGCATCGTATGTTTCTGTGCGGCGTAATTTCTCAAAAGGGTCAGGGGGCTTCTTTTGAGTGTTTCTTGTGCAAAGCCCATTGAAATGAAAGAGCGGCCCTGCATGTGATGCACAGAACCACAGACTATTTAGGATTGCTCCAATGATGTGAACAAAGCCTTAGAGCCCATTCACACTTGTATGACTTCTCATGCAACTTTGAGCTCAAAAGTCACATGACAAGTTTGTACCCCATGTTTCCCAATGAGTACCATTCATATATTTGCGACACTTCGAGTCACAGACACTTGAAAGTAGTTCCTGCACTACTTTGGTCCGACTTTTCATGCGACTTGAGGGCCATAGACTTCAAAAGGTAAACTCTCCAAAGTTGCATGAAAGTCACGCCTGGATGATATTCATGCGACCTTGTATGACTAGGAAGAGTACATACAATCAACCTTGGTCAAAGCCGCACCAACGTCGCACTCATCCAATGTTGCATCCAAAGCTGCATCAAAGTCACATAGCAAAGTCGCAATGAAAAATCGCACATAATTTATTTTGCCCCCCGTCGCACAAGTGTGAATGGAACCTTAAAGCATAAATAAAGGCAACACTTTTTTTAACTTTGAAAAGAGTGGAGAGAGTTTCGAACACCTGCCAGGTTTGTATTGCTGTCTGTGCCCGTTAGGGAGATTCACCCTTCCTAGTGTCCTGTTAAACGTTATCGCAGAAAGTGAAAGAAAATCCTAAATTCTGGGTAGCCACCAGAACAGGAAATCCAGGAGAAATCTTCCAGTGGGGACATTATGGTGGCAACCAAGGATTCCCTCATTTTTGGAGGGTATTTCCTCTCACCCCCTTTGTTTTGGCTATGGGGCAGGATGCGAAGGTAAATCTACCTAATGGGGACATAGATGGCAAAAAAAAAAAAATCTGCAGAGGTTATAACCCTCCAATACTAGGGTTGCCACATCATCCCCTTTAATTACCCCCTTATCAGCCACATAACATGTGTAATTAATATTTGTTCTGGTTTAAAGGGATGAGGGTGGAACCCTATGCAATACTTTATCCAAAATGAGAAAAAAAAACCTTTTTGCCTTTATTTCTGCTTTAAGATTGTACCTTGAGGTCAGCTTTAAGTTACAGAACTAGTAATGTTTGACTTGTGGAGAGCCTACACAGAGCCTGATACCTCAGGAACCAAAGTCCAGCAATCGATTCCATTCCTGAGATAAACATTGACCAGGGAGAGTCATGTGATGTAAAGTGTACCAACCCTGGAAGTTTATAACCCCAGCGCACTTTCTTCTGATAGCTATACCGCAGCTATTTTCTACCTGGAATTTAAAAAGCAGTGATTTATTTATATGGAGTCGCCAACCAAACATTTGTATTGCTGACTGTTTCCAGAAGCCACAATTGAAAAACGGTTTACCTTTTATGTTCGTTCACAAAACTCTAAAATAAAACTAAAGTGCTGAGCTCTTACAGAATGTAACGGGGAGAAAAAACACGTCTAGGACAGTGCATTCATTAAATATTCAGACCCCTTTCATTTTTTTCAATTTTGTTATGTTGGGAGCCTGATACTACAGTTGTTTCAATTCATTTTTTTCTCATTAATCTAATGACTAAATGAAAACAACATTGTAGAAAAATGTTTGCAAATGCTTGAAAAGGAAAAACTGAAATATCACATTGGTATAAGTATTTGGACCCTTTTCAACACACTCGAAATTTGCCTTGAAAGGTGCCTCCATTTCTCTTGATGGCTCCTGAGATGTTCCTACACCTTGATTGGCGTCCACCTATGGTAAATTAAATTGATTGGACATGATTTGGAAAGGCACACACTTCTCTATACAAAGCATCACAGCTGACAATGCATACTGTATCAGAGCAAAAGCCATGAGGTCAAAGGAATGACCTGCAGAGCTCAGGGATAGGATTGTTGCAAGATACAGATCTGGGGAAGGCTACAAAGAAAATGCATACTGCACTGAAGGTTCCCAAGAGCACAATGGCCTCCATAATTCTCAATGGAAGAAGGTTGGCACAACCAGTACTCTTCCAAGAGCTGGTTGTCCAGCCAAACTGAGTGATCGGGGCCTTAGTAAGAGAGGTGACCAAGAACCCAGTGGTCACTCTGACTGAGCTCCAGAGATCCTGTGTGGAGATGAGATAAAGTGCCAGAAGGACAACCATCCACTGCAGCCCTCAACCGATGTGATCTTTATGGCACAGTGGCTAGATGGAAGCCTCTTTTCACTGCAAAACACATTGCAAAAAAGCACCTCAAAAACTCTCAGCGGGGTTTCGTGTGTTTTGCACTGAGAAGATGCTTCCCTCATACAACTGTAATTGCACTTAAAATATTTTTAAGAAAAAAAAAAAAAGATATTTCACAAAACTAACTCTGATGACCGCAGGACATAAGTGTGGACATCATGTTGTGGATATAAGAATATATATAAGAAATAAGTAACATAGCATATTTGATATCCAGGGCCACTCTATACAACAAACATTGTTATCAAATATTAATAATGAAAATGAAAAAAGTAAAAGTAATGGCCAGAAATAAAGTGCACAGTACGAAATGTTACTGCCCCCTTACACTGGTGGTCATTGGAAAGAAGGCTCCTTTCATTGATGGTGAGTGATAATAATGATCCTTACATTGGTTGTCAGTCAGAAGAATGCTCTTTACATTGGTTGTCAGTCAGAAGAATGCTCCTTACATTGGAATTAATGCTCCTTATATTGGTGATTAGTCAAAAGAATGCTCCTTCCACTGAAGATCAGTAAAAAGAAGAATGCCTCTTACATTGGTCATCGGTGGGAAGAATGCTCCTTACATTTGGTAGTCAGCAGGAAGAATGTCCCTTACATTGGTGGTTTTTGGGAAGAATGTATCTTACATGGGTGATAAGCGGGAGGAATGCTCCTTACATTGGTGATCAGTGAGAAGAAGAATGCTCCTTACATTGATGGTCAGTGGAAGAATGCTCCTTACATTGATGGTCAGTGGGAAGAATGCTCCTTACATTGATGGTCAGTGGGAAAGAATGCTCCTTACATTGGTGATCAGCAAGAAGAATGTTCCTTACATTGGTGATCAGCAAGAAGAATGTTCCTTACATTGGTTGTCAGTCAGAAGAATACTCCTTACATTGGGTTATTGCTCCTTATATTGGTGATCAGTCAAAAGAATGCTCCTTACATTTGTTGTCAGTCAGAAGAATGCTCCTACATTGGTTGTCAGTCAGAAGAAAATGCTCCCTTACATTTTGGTTGTCAGTCAGAAGAATGCTCCTTACATTGGTTGTCAAGTCAGAAGAATGCTCCTTATATTGGTTGATAAGTCAGGAAGAATGCTCCTTATATTGGTGTCAGTCAGAAAGAATCTTTTTCAGTCAGAAGATACATTGGGTTATTGCTCCTTGTATTAGTGATCAGTCAAAAGAAGAATGTCCCTTACATTGGTGGTCAGTGAGAAGAATTCTTCTTACATTGGTCATAGAACATCAGTGGGAAGAATGTTTACTTACATTTGGCATTCAGCAGGAAGAATGTCCCTTACATTGGTGGTTATTGGGAAGAATGCGTCTTACATGGGTGATAAGTGAGAAGAGGAATACTCCTTTCATTGATGGTCAGTGGGAAGAATGCTCCTTACATGGTGATCAGCAGGAAAGAATGCTCCTTACATTGATTGGGATTAATGCTCTTTACACTGAAGATCAGTAAAAAGAAGAATGTCCCTTACATTGGTGGTCAGTGAGAAGAATTCTTCTTACATTGGTCACCAGTGGGAAGAATGCTACTTACATTGGTGATCAGTGAGAAGAAGAATGCTCCTTACATTGATGGTCAGTGGGAAGAATGCTCCTTACATTGGTAATCAGCAGGAAGTATGTTCCTTACATTGGTTGCGAGTCAGAAGAATGCTCCTTACATTGGGATTAAAGTGGTAGCAAACCGCATCTAGAAAAAAAAACGCTGCAACAACGCTTGTGCAAAAACGCAAAAAAAACACACTGCAGAAACGGATCAAACGCAACCTGCATAGGTGTGAACCTAGCCTTAGGGCTGGTTCATACTATTGAAAGGCAGTCCAGATGTGTTTTTGCATTGTTTATTTAATGCGTTTTTAGCGCATTCCGTTGAATTTTTTATGCAATCTTGTTCATTTCCCCTCTCTTTTTCTTCAATTTAAATAGGGACATGTGCATTCCAGTGCGGTTTTGGTGCATTTTTGTGCGTTCCAGTACAATTCTGTGCAGAAAAAATGCAGCCTGTTTTACTTTTTTTTCCTGCAACTGGAACTGCAAGCACTGATGTGAACTATGACATTGAAAACCATATCACCTACTTTCTGTGCGTTTTGGATGCAGAAAAAAAGCAACTGAAACGCATGTAGTGTGAACTGGCCCTAAAGGATAGCTGATAAGAACATTGGGATCAGTGGTTCCTTGTCTAAGAGGCAAAAATTACTCACCACTCAAGAAAACTCTTTGCAACCTCAGGAGGAAACCTGGTTGGGAGGGAATATCCAACCACATGCCATAAACTGTAATAGGTTCATAAATTTCCACAGCTTTGGAAATCTAAAAGCGATTTCAATCAAACTTTTAACAACATTTTAACTTTTTAAACATTTGAACAGGTCACGTTACATTTTAACATAGGACCCCTTATTTGATAGCAGCTTCACAAGTCTGGTATCCATTGAACTTGTGTGTTTTTGGACAGTTTCTGCTTGAATTTGTTTGCAAGATGTCAGAATAGCCTCCCAGAGCTGCTGTTTGGATGTAAACTGCCTCCCACCCTCATAGATCTTTTGCTTGAGGATGCTCCAAAGGTTCTCAATAGGATTGAGGTCAGGGGAGGATGGAGGCCACACCTTGACTTTCTCTCCTTTTATCCCCACAGCAGCCATTGATGCAGAGGTATTCTTTGCAGCATGAGATGGTGCATTGTCATGCATGAAGATGATTTTATTACGGAAAGCATAGTTCTTCCTTCTGTACCAGGGAAGAAAGTGGTCAGTCATAAACTCCACATACTTTGCAGAGGTCATCTTTACACCTTCGGAGACCCTAAAGGGGCCGACCAGCTCTGTTCCCATGATTCTGGCCCACAGCAGGACTCCACCACTACCTTGCTGACGTCACAGCCTTGTTGGAACAGGGTGGCCATCCACCAACCATCCACTACTCCATCCATCTGGACCATCCAGGGTTGCACGGCACTCATCAGTGAACAGGACTGTTTGAAAATTAGTCTTCATGTATTTTTCTGCCCAATGCAGCAGTTTCTGCTTGTGAGCATTGGTTAGTGGTGGCCGAATAGAAGGTTTATGCACAGTTGCAAGACTCTGAAGGACTCTACACCTTAATGTCCGTGGGACTCCAGAGGCACCAGCAGCTTCAAATATCTGTTTGCTGCTATGTAATGGTATTTTAGCAGCTGCTCTCTGGATCCGATGCATGGATCTGGCAGAAATCTTCCTCAATGTGCCTTTATCTGCACGAACCCATCTGTGCTCTGAATCAGCCACACATCTCTTAATAGTGCAATGATCACACTTAAGTTTTCGTGAAATATCTAATGTTTTCATACCTCGTCCAAGGCATTGAACTATTTCACTCTTTTCGGCAGCAGCGAGATCCTTTTTCTTCCCCATATTGCTTGAAAATGGTGCTCTGCTTAATAATGTGGTTGATTCCAGCCTCAGTCCACTGCTTGTGAAAGTCCCCAACACTTTGAATGGCCTTTTCCTGACAATCCTCTCCAGGCTGCGGTCATCCCTGCTGCTTGAGCACCTTTTTCTTCCACACTTTTCCCTTCCACATAACTTTCTATTAATGCGCTTTGATACAGCACTTTGGGAACATCCAACTTCTTTTGCAATTACCTTTTGAGCCTTTCTCTCCTTGCGGAGGGTGTCAATGATGGTTTTCTGCACAACTGTCAGGTCAGCAGTCTTTCCCATGATTGTGATTCCTACTGAACCAGACTGAGACCATTTAAAGGCTCAGGAACCCTTTGCAGGTGTTATGGATTAATTATCTGATTAGAGTTGGACACTTTGAGCCGAGAATATTGCACCTTTTCACAATATTCTCATTTTCTGAGATTGTGGATTTGGGGTTTTCATGAGCTGTAAGCCATAATCATCACAATTATGACAAATCATGGCTTGAACTATCTTGCTTTGCATGTAATGAGTCTATCTCATATATTAGTTTCACCTTTTAAGTTGCATTACTGAAATAAATGAACTTTTGCACAATATTCTAATTTTTCGAGTTTCACCTGTATACACGTGATTTTGTGCGCCCATGCCGCCCTGTAGCAGTATTACTGCTATAGGGTGGCGCAGAAGTGATTAAACAGCACCCAACCCACTAACACAACTCCCCCACTTACACAATTTGCTTACATACATTGTAACGCATCACTGCACACAGATGTGAATGGTCGGTGCGTTGTGTTAAAGCGGTATTAAAGCCAAAAGGAAACAGATATTATATTGCAGATTACCAATTCTTCGATCTAAAGGCTGCTTTCGTTTTCTTTTTCTGGCTTTTTTCTTCTATTTTCATCTGGTGATCAATCCAGTAAGTCCGTTGTTTTTCAAATGAAAAAGCTCTCTTGCAGATTGTATCAATTACAGGGATGAAACAAACCATTTACCACTGACAGGGGTGCTTACAATGATCAGATTTTATTTATTATGTAAAACCTTTATCCCAAAAGGAAACAACTGTTTGCTGTAACGGATTATAAAGTGTGACCTGGAGTTCAGCTTCAATGTGTTACTGTATTTAAATCTGCTAGTATCCCCCCCCCAGACTGGCAATGCTGCTCTCTGCTGTACCCCATGTGCTCCTTCATCCAGAGTGGGGGCACTCTACTACAGGAGGTGTGTTACTGGCCAGATGACCAGGTGAAAACAGAGGGGAAAGAAAGCCTAAAAAAAGAAAACAAATGCAGCCATCACAGCTAATGATTGAAAGTATATGGAAACCTATAGGCTTGTTCACACCTGCATGGAATTTAATACACATATATTGAAGTGCATTATGGAACGTAGATTGCATTAGGAAGCCCATTCATTTTGAATAGGCTGCAACACACCAAACATGTTGCAAGGCAAACTATACACTGCAATATATTACTATTTTGGTTTTCGGCTATATTGGAATACAGTGCTCCTGTATTTTGTGCGACAACTACATCAGCATTCAGTAAAAATATATTCTTCAACCAGTAGATGGCAGTGTTTGTAAGTTTGTAGCTGCATCTATGGTATACCCTATGAATAAAGTTTCCTGTTTCCTGGTTGCAGTGAAGGAGAGTAGCACATGTGGACTGTGCCGTGTCTGTTCTGTAGGATTTCTAACAGGCTAATACTGCTTTAAGTATAGTGTGCCATGCAACATGTTTGGTGTGTTGCAGCCTATTCAAAATGAATGGGCTTCCTAATGCAATCTACGTTCCATAATGCACTTCAATATGTGTGTATTAAATTCCATGCAGGTGTGAACAAGCCTATAGGTTTCCATATACTTTCAATTTAAAGCGTACAGTATGTATGCTCAAAATGTAAAATCAGATGATCATTTTCCCATTATATTTCAATTATTCCCAGCCTTCTCCTATTAATCTGAATGATCTTGAAGTTCGAAAACTTACTGGTGAGAGCCATGGGAGGGGGATTTGTGAAGAAGTGGGAGCTGTGTGCTGGGGGGGGGGGGATTTGTGAAGAGGTGAGAGCTGTGGGAGGGGGGTTGTGAAGAGGTGGGAGCTGTGGGACGGGGGTTGTGAAGAGATGGGAGCTGTGGGACGGGGGTTGTGAAGAGGTGGGAGCTGTGGGGGGATTTTTGAAAAGGTGAGGGGGGAGGGGATTTGTGAAGAGGGTGAGAGCTGTGGGAATGGGAGGTTGTGAAGAGGTTAGAGCTGGGGGGGGGGGGGGTTGTGAAGAGGTGAGAGCCATGGGAGAGGGATTTGTGAAGAGGTGAGAGCTGTGGGAGGGAAGGGGATTATGTCAGGCTTATTGGCTGGCCACTCTGCTGCTAGTAGGTTAGGGTTGGGGGGGGGGGGATTATTTCTTGCCCTAGGTGCTGAGAACCCACGCT